GATGTCCAGCAGAGAGCTGCTGGGGGACTGAAAGATAACGTCTCCTCCATCAATTTATCCGTTCTCTACAATATGTTGGATTCATGTTAATGTGTATTTAAAGACAATAAATACAATTCTGATTCTGAAGACATTTAAAATTTGTGGACCAACCAACTTATCAACCCAAAATTGATAAGCGACCCCCCCTGCAGTACCTCCGCGGACCCCCTGTTGAAGACCTCTGCTCTAAATCGTGACACAACCATAAAGATTTGAAATAGAAAAATCCAATATCGCTGTTATGAGTCAAAGTATTAATTCCTTTTCCAGAGAAAATTAGTTATCTCTCTTTGTTAATTTACCAAAAACAGTCATTTCAACACTTTTAGAGCCCAAGTGAAATTCAGGGAATTGTAAAAGTCAACAATGTAAAGGGTCTCCTTCAGTATTGTGTTTTCAGCAGCAAGTAGCTGCTCAGAGGTCTTTAGTCCACTGGCCCCGTGCCGAAGTTTATGCACTGCTGTACTGTGGCTTCCTAATACTGAATGCTTTCATTTAAAATATTACATTTTAATAAGAGGCAAAACCAAAAAGTGGTTTGCAGTCTTCAGCAAAGTCCATCCCGCTATGTAGGAACATGTCAGACACTCTGTGGGTGTGAGTGGACCACGTCTCCCACGCTGCCGGCCGGGCCTTTCTTACTTTGATTGTCTTCCGTATAAAAGAGACATCCGACTACTGCTGGGGGACTGTGCAGAAGCTCATTACAACTGACCTTTTGCAACCTCACGTGTTTCAAAGGGACAGTTGGGGATTTTTAAAATATGGGCTATTAGTGTCAGTGTATTACGTCAGGAGTGTGCCCTTTTTTGCATTGCAGACAATAACTGAGCTCTCTACAAAGCCACGAGGCTCCATTGTCGACAAATAGCCATCTTTCCTCCCATAACAAGGGAGTTGCCTTTCCATCCATTTGTTTGTGTACTGTGTGACTGTAGCTGCTGACCAATCCAAACACCAGAATCACACTAACAAATAACCGGTTGAGGCAGTGGTCCAACAGAAAGGTGGTAAAATCCCTGTTTTGCATAACGGTTCAATGCATTGTTATAGAGAGCAAGAACGATTCCTTAAATGAGCAGAACCAGAGTTGAGCAGCTCCATCGTGGTTTCATGTGGCTGTGGCGGCAGTGATGGCGTGGCGGGCTAATAACGTACCGCGTGTGGTTAATTACAGCCCAGTGTGTCACACACACCAGCCAGAAGCTTCTCTTTGCAGTAATTACTATAAATCTGTATTTTTCTACTCGGCCTCTGTTGAAGGCTGAATGCCACAGTAGCATCCAGAACCTAATGGAAAGCTTTGTTCTGATTATTTAGAAAAGAAAGACAAACGGGAATTGGTGCTTAAATATTTTATTTCGTATGGCCCAAAACCGCAAATTGCAAATTTGCCTCGGAGGCCTTTACATCTTGTGTGTTCTCTTCTCTGATCTTCTCTCTCTTACTCTCAACCCACACCTCTGCTTTACATCAGAGCAGCCTTTGGCTCAGACGTCGAGGCCGTGTGTCAACACCTTGCTGTTGCTGTTCATTGTCCCTGAGGAATGAATTTATTGTTGACCCGCCGATCTTTCCAATATTATCATTTTTAACATAGCGTGACGTTGGATATGATATGATATAGATATGAATACACACATGTGTACATATAGACACTGTATATAGGATGGCTGGGTTTAAATGATGTTTTGAGGTGGTTTTTCTAACCCGGTACTGGTCTTTGGGTAACAAGTTAAATGGAGGGATTGATGCAGCTATCAGCAACGACTCTCCTCAGCGTTGTTGGTCACTGTGATACAAATTCAATTGCTGTTGAGCGGTGGAATCTTAAATGTGGAGCCTCCATTAATTCTCCTCCACCACACAGCTTCTAAAGCAGCTTGTGTGTTCCTGGTACTGCTTTAAATCTGCCCCCGCGGGTGCCAAGGTCGCAGCATTTGGCAGCCATTAAGCCATTAAGACGCTGCAGGCTGGTACACTTTGATACACTTGTCCTGCCCATTCGTTTGTCCCGTCTCTCCTTGGCTTCCTGTCTGTCTTTTCTCTCGTCTTTCACTTTTTCCCCGCTGTTTTCCTTTTCTTGCTGCCGTTGCAAATTTGGTCAAAAGACAGTTTTTTCCTCTGTATTAAACAAAGAACAAAGCCGCTCAGTGTGAATGAGGATTATGAAACAGCAGAAACACCGTGTAAGGCCGTAATGCGCCGTGTCCTTTGACATGACTGATACACCAGACGCTCCATCATCTGGAAATCATCAGACATCACGTGATTTCAACCCCTTTTTTTAATGAATTAATTTTATTTTGTAAAGCCCAAAATTGCAAATTACAAATTTGCCTCAGAGGTCTTTACAGTCTTCTGTCCTGAAACCCTCACATCGGCACAGGAAAAACTCCCCAAAAAATGAGAAACCCTTTGTTTTTGTTCGTTAACGTCAACGACTTGTTGACCACATGGTTGATTTGAAAAGAAATTATACAAACGTATCAATCTAACGATGTAACAAAAAAACGTATAATGTAACCGCGCAATATAATGTGAATAACAGTCAATGTATTCTGACAACGTAATAAAACAACCGTAAATAAATGACATCAACCTTTTGCCGACCTCATGCTACGATGTAATGCAACAAGCCTGATATTGTTATGTAACTGACCTGGAGTCCCTCTTCAGTTGTACTTTCACACAGAATCTGAGGCCTGTGTTTGTTTGAGCCGTGAGAGAATCAACGAGTGTGTCTTTGAATTCCTCATTCAATCACTCTCAGTTGTCATTTATTCACCCGGTGAGACTCACCATGATGCACAGAGCTTTCATTTAAAAACAGCATGTCTCAGTGGGTCAGTCCCTTTTCTTATTTTATGTTAGTATATAAAGCGTTTCTTGGGGTTTCCGTCTATTGCGTCTGTCTTCCTGTTGGGGGAGGAAAGAATGAGTAAACACTTCTAACCTTTCTCTATCCGTTCTATATATAGCAACACAATCCTATTACAATTATCCTGAAATGTCCCAGCAAGGGCTGCAGAGAGAAGACTCGACCGCACATACCTCAGCTACCTTGCTCGGCGAGGACAGTCGACCTTTTGGAAAAGAATCCCCACCTCTCTCCCCTAGTCCATTTTCTAGGTAAGCCCTCCTGTAGGGAGAATGCCAAGTGGGGCTTCAAATCGCCCACCGCAGCAAGGAAAACGGCCCAAAACTATCTCAAATGCTCAAAAGTCAAAGCTGCAGTTTGTAACTTACATCAAAACACATTTTGATCATGTTTGCTCAGACTTTCTGTGTATCGTGACAGAAGTACACGAGACAGGTAACGTGCACATTGTGGGGGGAAATAGACGGACAGAGAAGGGAATACTGACGTCACTGAAAAACAGGAGTTCAACCGAAATCTCATTGAGAATGATCACTATTGGTAGATTGTAATCTAAAGAGATATTCCAGGGATTTACTGTCGTTCTTTCATTACATCGGGGGACTCGCATGGGACAGATTAAAAAAAAGAAGTGATGCAACAGGAGCCAAGGATATGGATGTAATTAGAGTCCTACACCTCTAGCAGTACCTCCTTGCCTGGTAACTGCTCACATGTTTCAAAGGCTTTTACATCCGTCGTCTCCGAGACCAAGGTCAGATAATCGTGATTATTACGCTGGAGAAAATAAACATGCTGAGGATTACAGCTCAGGTTCACAAAGGATCTGACATCTCAAGGAGTCATCATACATGTAATTAAAACCTGCATTTATTTATTAACTGTTGTTGCTGATTAATTGTCCAACTAGCCTCGAACAGCGTAGCCTTTCATAGTTTGATTCTATTTTCACCGTCTCTGAGTGCGTCCAGATTGTCCGATAAGTTGGTGAATAGGCATCATCAGAAGTTGGGAGTCCCCTGGAAGTCTTCTAATTCCTCTTTAAATAAATAGTTTTTGTAAATTACTCTGAAGCCAAAAGTTGATGACTGATACTTATTTTTAGGTGGGCAATTAAGAGCTCATTTAAGCCTTAGTTTGCTCTGTGAATAAACCCACTGTTCAGAAAATCAGAGGTCGGGAGTAGAAGGTGGTGAGGAGGCGACTGTCACTAAATGTAACTAGACACGGCTTTCACAGCTAAATCATCTTAAGAGCGCCGGGTGACGAGTGACCTTTGCTGACCTTGCCTCTAGTGCCACCCTCTGGACAAATGCATTAGCTACTCTGCTGTTACTGTTGTCCTGAAGTCATGATTCCTGAACATGAGCCCCTGTCTGACCGATGCACATCATAGTGCCAGGAGACCAGGAGTGCAATGGAATTATAGAATACCCATGTAGCATATTATGGTACATAGGACAGTAAATGAAAAGCACTATGTACTACAAAACGTACATGACTAATTGTATGATGCACTGGAAGGTCATTTGTATGAGTGTTTTAGGAATAATGTCAGTAAATCAAACAACAGCTGAATCCTTTATTTTTAAAACCATTATTAACCAACTCTTGATAAAACACTTGAAGAGCATACATCCGGTCTCAAAAATGTTCTATATATAAATTCTATATTTGTTTTGGAGTTTTTGCGTCACAAATCAAGGTATGGAGCAAATTGATTTTTCATTTGAATATGACACAGGATGAAAAGTCAGATCACCAAAGTCATTTTATTTGATCCGTGTAGAGCACAGAATCACGTGTACAAACTTATAGCTGATATCACTGATAGCAAACCATTTCTTGATTGTGATGATATTTTCCTTTAACCAAAATGGATTCCATTCAACAGTTGTGGAGACATTTCAACCTGATCATACTGTACTGTGAGCTACAGTCACAGGACGAGCCAGCATGCCATACTGGCTGACATATTTACCAAGCCTCCCATGGTCTGAATTGTTTTTATTTGTCTCTGATATACAGGTCTGTACTGTACGATACAGTAAACCACAATCGTGTCTTTGTCTTGCAGGTCCTGGCTATGATCTCCATCCTGTTCATCATCATCTCCACCATCTCGCTGTCCCTGAACACCCTGCCTGAGCTGCAGGTTGTCGATGAGTTTGGCCAGTTCAATGACAACCCCAGCTTAGCCCATGTGGAAGCTGTCTGCATTGCCTGGTTCACCATGGAGTACATACTACGCCTGCTCTCAGCACCTGACAAGTGGGATTTCATCAAAGCGCCACTGAATATCATTGATTTGCTGGCTATCCTGCCTTACTACGTGACCCTCTGTCTAACCGAGTCGAACAAGAATGTTATGCAGTTCCAAAATGTGCGCCGTGTAGTCCAGATATTCAGAATTATGAGAATCCTTAGAATCTTGAAGCTGGCCAGGCACTCAACAGGGCTCCAATCTTTGGGCTTCACTTTGCGAAGAAGCTATAACGAGTTGGGCTTACTGATCCTTTTCTTAGCCATGGGCATTATGATCTTCTCCAGCTTGGTGTTCTTTGCTGAGAAGGACGAGGACGCAACCAAATTCACGAGTATTCCTGCCTCTTTCTGGTGGGCTACCATTACTATGACCACTGTCGGTTATGGAGACATCTACCCACAAACGCTCTTGGGCAAGATTGTCGGAGGACTGTGCTGCATAGCAGGTGTGTTGGTCATTGCCCTTCCCATCCCAATCATTGTCAACAACTTCTCTGAGTTCTACCGAGAGCAGAAGAGGCAGGAGAAGGCCATCAAGAGGAGGGAAGCTCTTGAAAGAGCAAAACGAAGTGGAAGCATTATTTCCATTAACCTAAAGGATGCGTTTGCACGCAGTATGGAACTTACAGATGTGTTGGTGGAAAAGAAAGAAGATGGTAAGTGTCCTTTGGACAATAACCTGTCCCCCAGCCGCTGGAGCTATCACAAACACTACTCCAACACGGAAGCGGGTAGCCCCGGCAGGTCCCAACATTCTCACTACCGGGAGGTGGCTCAGCTTGGCTCCCCCGAACGACTCAAGCCTTTGTCTAACAAAACCACCCTTCAAAACCTCAGTGCGAAACAGCTGGAAGACGTTTACAATAAGACAGCAGCCATCCAGGAGCAGCAGGAAAAAGATGTCGCTGATCAGTTGGAGATGAAAACATTGACTTCCATTCAAGCACAAAAAACGTCCGCTGAAGACAGCACGGCCAAGAAATGCTCCAAAGTGGCTGATGATTTTACAAAGGAGAGAGGAGAGAGAAGCTCTTTGCTCCCGACTGCCGAAGGAGGTGAAACTTTTGTTCGATACCAGCGCCTCCCCCCTCCCTTGGATCTAAGTCAGATTAGCACCATGGAGGTAAACAGGGTCGCTGACAGCATCCAGCCAATGGCCATTATTAAAGAGGGCTTGTATGAGTTTGTGTCCTCTCCTAAAGGAAATGCGACTGGAGATGTGGGTTCGGTGCAACAGAACGTTGAAGGCTTTGGGGTGACCAACGACAGCATCTGCAGCTCCAAGCAAGATCATGGTCACCCTCAAAAGCCCAGAAACCTAAAGGTTGACTTCATTGGATCCCAAGACGATGTTCTAATGGCGGTGATGACACCCGTAGCAACGCCAGGCTCCGCTGGCTCGGCCAAGCTTGCTCAACTACTTTTCGAAGACATCGTGCCCAGGTTTTCTCCTTCTCCAAGCTCAGTTGGCCGGGAAGCTAAGTCTCCGCTGGCAATCCTGCAATCTCCATTTCTGGCCCAGCAATCTGTCAGTCCAAGTCCCTACTCCCAGGGGGGAGGCGAGGGCTCATCACCCAGGAGCTTAACAGGTGAAGGGCAGCTCACAGGCTTAAGCCACAAGGGTAAGAATCACATGGAAAAGTCTTCGGTCGGCTCAGGTAGCAGCGCCAGCCCACTGACGTCCAAAGTCAGCCCACTCAACTGCACCCAAGAGCTAGTAACTATGGAAGAAGGAGAGGAAGGAGAAGGAACCCAAGGGGGAGCGGAACAGAGTGGGGAGAAACAAGAAAACCACGTTGTCTCCGACAGGAGCGGAACTCCACCGTGTGAGACGAGTATGTGAGCAGGAGAAGATCTCACAGACGGAGAAGCCAAACGGATGAGTTGAGGATGGATGGCAGCAAATACCCAGAAAGACCACAAAGAATATGGCCCAGTGTGGGCTCCGTACCGGTTGACAACGAGAATGTGGAAGCAGTTTTTCTGGAGCGATGTCAAATCCAAGAAAACTTTTGTGCTCTCGTCTCTTTTTGGACAAGCGCTGGGTCCAGAATGGGACACCCCTGTAGTGTTGTTATTATCACAGTGAGGGGAAGTCAACAGCACATGCCCACTGTCTGCCGATCTGAAAGACAGCGTCTCACGTCGGGTTCGACATCGACTTCTTCTTTGTAGACAAGACTGCATTGCAAAACAGTGGCAACTGATAAATCTTATAGGGCTCAGATGTGAGCATAAACAAAGCCTTGTGTGAATGACGATGTTGACGACTATCCTAAGAGAGTTTTTGAGTTCAGCTCGACAGTTTCCATTTGCTTGCTATTTAGGCCTATTTTCGATGATGGACTATTAAGACCTAGGAAAGGCAGAAGGTGGAAGAAAGTTTTTTACTATTGTATTAGCAAAATGTATCCCAGAAAAAATGGTTCTCAATTTGTTGGTGTGGCTTAGTCACCATTCTCTCAATCAAGGTATTACTTTGTTGTAATGATAGGGAATACAATAAGGATGCAAAGGCTACCTTATATAGAGCTAGACAACTGTTTGCACACATCACTAGAAAAAAAAAAGAAAATTCTGAAAAAAAGAAACAGCGTAGGAAACTGACCTATATATATAATAGCAGGCAGGTGAAACGTGCAGAAACAAGACAACGAGGAAAGCGCACAAGGACAGGGGACAAGTTGAAGTCCCAGCTCATCTGTTTTAGTCTCTGTGAGACTGCTGTCTTATTAAAGGATAATTCAGGTTCATTACAACTTGGGTCTAGTTTTGACCATAATTTCCAACGATAATAACACTACACTTGCCATTTTAATTGTTGAGCTCTAGGAACACGTTCACGTAAATAAAAACACCATCCGGTCACATGAGCAGTCAAACTGTCAGACAAGGGTTCTGAACCCTTCACTGTGTGCACACAGTTCTCAGGCACAGTAAAGGATTATTAGCTTAATTAAAGGTACTTTTGCTTTTAGTTTTACCTCCAAATAAAGTGGGTAAGCTAATGTGGAACTGGTGGTTTGTTTCTAACCTGTCTGATCATCTTACTGTGTTTTTTCTGAATTGTGAAGATCGGTTCCAGGTCCCATAACCATTAACTTGGTGAGTATGTTATAATAACCAGTAGGAACGATGGGGGAAAACTACCGAAGTGGCATCGTTGCAAAGGCTACACCTTTGGAACCCACTGAGGGAGGTGGAGCCTGAATGGAAGTGACTCCCCCCGCAGTTTCTCTTGCTCTTCCCATTATATATTTACATATGATGACTGAGAGGAGAGGGTCCTGAATGGCTGCTGATTGTATCGAGCAGGTGGTGTGAGAGTGCCCTCTACAGGCACTTGAACGAAAGGCCTGTTTGCCTCTTCAGCACTCTTGTAATCTTGTTAATGGATATATTTGTATTAGTTCAGTTGTGCAATAATATGAATGAATGCTGATTTGTTAAACACACATTTAATTGTGTGCACAATGTATCGCACACAGTGAAGAGACCAGTGATAAGAATTGGTGAAAAATGAATTCTAACTATTTTCCCAAAGAATTGTTACTCTTTGTAGATCAATATGTAATATTTTTTGTCTCGAGTTAAAACAAAGGAATTGCACTTTTATAAGAAAAACTTGGAGCTGTGTATTGTTAACATCTCAGTTTATTTTTTAAAAGGGTGCCTTTTCATAAAAAGACCATTTATGAGAAGATGACAAAAGAAATTTACAATATGGCCAGATTTTTTTTGTTCTTATTTTCTCTCGTTTGTCTCCGTTTAGCTAATGTGTTAATATGTGAACCCTCTGGTTGTCAGGTTTTGCAGACCTGTATTGCATTGTGCTCCCTAATCATCTAGTGCATCTAATGCAACATAGCTTACAGTTCTAACCTCACTGTGCCACAACGTCATTTATTTTAGCAAAATGAATGTTTGTGGAAAGCAGTGGCTTCGGTTATGCTCAGTAGGGACTTCAGCAGGGATCATTTTGGTGCTGTATTACTGTACATACTGCAGCACTGTACAAAATGGACACAGGCAGATCTGTAGGTGTTGGGTACCCACAACAAAGAAAGTGCACCCCCCAACATGTGGAAATGATACAATAGGGACATTTGTAGACCACATCGGCTTCCGTGCAGTAGCTTTAGAGATGCACTGGGAGGTAAATATTTCTTTATAGACCGGTTGTTGGGGAGTGCTAATTCTTAATTGTGTCCACACTATTTCGTGGGAGTCAATATCCCACGCAGGTGAGTCGAGACTGTTGTTTAGATAAGAGTGCTTCGCTCACACGTTACCCTCACCAGAAAATGAACCAGAAAATAAGCTTCCAAAGTTCTTCCATATGGTCTTGCCATTTTGTTATATGGATGTAGCTCTGAGAGACGGAAACATGCAGATCAGGGGACGTGGAGGCGGAGACCTGCGTGTCAAACTGTTCATAGAGAGCGGCCATTATGAATCCGTTCGGCACGTCAAAGGATTATTTTAGCACAATATGTCTACCAGGGAAGCAGTTCACTCTTACCAAACCAATGTTAGCTATGTGTTAGCAAGTTACTGCAGTCAGCTGAGGCATCTTTCTGATGTAACGTTATCCACTAGAACACAAGTTACATTCTGTCAAAATGTTTTAGCTTCACTCACAGAAATGTTCATTTGGACAAAATGCTTTATGTGCATGTACAGTCAAGCATACTGAGTCTCAGGATCCAAAAATCTCCCATTCTTCCTGTTGATGCCTAATGTCTTATTGCCCGTGTCTTCTCTGGTTTCAGAAGCTTGTACACGTTTCGATCTGGGTTCTTCCCTCTGTTGGTAGTGATCCCACCACACAGCAGCTTTCAGGCAAACCAACTGAGGAACGTGACAAGAAGGCCCTGTCACAATATAAGGTTAATAGGGAGCAAGAGGTTGTATGGTTTCAGTTGGGTTGTGTGTCTGTGAACACTGCTGCTGCTCTCCTTTGTACAACCTCATCTCAAATCATCCCAGAAAATGTGTTTATGTTTGTTGTTACATAAAAAACAAATCTTCTCTTTGCCTCTCTGGCCTGCTCTCTTTCCCTTCTTTTTTCTTTAATGTTCTACTCTTCCGCCATCCTCATGTACTTGTTTTGTTTAACAGTAGGCTGTGTGCTGATTAGTCAGTTGCATTACTTGTATGACAACATAAGGATAGTGAATGATAAGGACTTTTGTTTCATCTACCAATATGCAAGACAAATAAATGTGTTCATGTGACCTAGTTTTTTGTGTACTTTGTGGATGCATATTAGCATGTGCGTGTGGATGCAGGGAACTTGGCAAAGTGGGCCCCCGAAAAGGTAACGGAGTGTTAGTCATTTGATTAGTACACATTTGCCCCCCTAAACTATATGTAAAAGCAAAAGTATATATAGTATACCACTAAAATAATCTAGTTAACTATCAAGTTATGCTTTTCAGAATAAGAGCTTGCAGAGATAAACTATGGAGAGTTTTATCAAATGTGACACCCTGCTAGATGAAACTACTAAAACAAAAGCCCGTAATGAAGTTAATGTTAAGGCCACCATGAGCTGCTGCAACATGTGCTGCTGAAATTTTATGGTGTAAACAGAGGACGGTCATTTTTTAGCATGAACTTACCTAGTAGTCATTTAAGGTATCGGATTCCTTTATTGCAATAGTGTCCGTCAGCAGGTTTAATTCAAAAGTGATTATAGTTTATTAAAATATGAATATGTAACAGCTACACACCCAACACAGAAATTGTTTGGTTGTTTTAATTCTATTACTATTTGAGCCACATTTGTATCTGTCACGACCGGACAATGGGCCTGAACCCAAATGCACAACTCCGGAGACGATGTTCGAAATCAAAGTTTATTGACAAAAAGGCAGTAAATGAAAATCACTCTTGGTAGAGGAAAAAGTTCCTAAGCTAAATCCAAGAACAAAATGATTTAGAAAATAAACACAAGGCTGAAAAATGAATCAACAGAAGCCTGTTAGTCCATTAGTTGGCTTTTTAACTGGTAAGCACCTCATCTCCGCGATGAGTGACAATTTTAATGAACATAAGTCACTACATCTGTTACCCCTCGCCCATGCTGTCCCAAATTGGTACAACCTTTTTCTTGTTTAGAGGTGCGTCTCAACCCCCATTGATCCGTTTGAAAATGCTCAAAACACAACTTTGACAAGTATAACAAGTCATAGAATATCCTTTGCAAATTAGTCCAGAAATTGTACACTCAGCTGTGCAAAGGTTGAACAGTCTTGTGAAACTAAAAGCTACCACAGAAAACAACACACCAAATATCTAGCTGAGATCGTACTGAAAGTGATATCTTTAACATTCATCTCAGACAAACCTTGCCAAATTGAGAGTATAAAAAACCAACAAGCCAGCGAAGTGTAGGAATCATAAACATCTCCTAGCTTTGCCATTTTGAATGGAATTATGAAATAAATTCACTGTTTCTGCAGTGCAACACCGTCCTCACAGGACTCACACCGCTTCTTGTCGCTTTTGAATGACGTTAGAGGGGCGTGGGGGTCGAAGTTCACAGGCAGATTTTGAGTTCAGATGGTTTGGGCATCTGGTAAGGATGTCCCCTGGGCGCCTCCCCGAGGGCAAGGCCAGCCTGGTATCTCCTATCTCCATGTTTTGTTTTTTGAAAAGTCAGAAATTGTAAAAAGTCTTTCAGAAGAATGCAGCGCTCTTGAACTTGCGAAGCTGTTGGGCCGTGATCACAGAACAATAAACGTTTCGTTGCAAATACTCCAAAGGGTCGCAAGAAAAGTGTGGAGAAAAAAAGGTGCAAATTAAGGATTTGGGAAGAATCAAACGTGATTCCAGCAGGAACCCATTTTCCTCCAGTGCTGCCATATTACAGAACTGCAACTTACCTGAGTGCCCAGCAGTACCAGGTGTTCAGCTCGGAGACATGGCCAAGGTGAGGAAGGCTGAAGCCCGACCACCACTGAACAAGACACAGAGGTTGAAAGGTCAAGAGTGATGAGACGAGGGTGACTCTAGACGGACCAGATGGACGGGCCCGTGGCTGGATCAGTAACGGGTACAGAGCTCCACTTCCACTCAGACGCCAGCAAGCTGGAGGTGGGGATCTATGGGCTGGTATTATTAAAGACGGGCTAGTTGGACTTTTGGGGTTGAACATGGACTAAAAATCAACTCCCAAACCCACTGCCAGTTTTTAGAAGACACTTTCTTTAAGCAGTGGTACAGGAAACGGTCGGTGTCTTTTAAGAAGACAATGATTTTAGTGACAAGACAATTCCCCATCACATGCATCGCAATACTGCGCTGTGTGGTCAGCCAGGCCTTAAAGGTGAAGAAATAATGACATGGCTCCCTTCCACACCTGACCTAAACCCTACGGAGAACTTTTGGATAACTTCTCAAACAGTAGACATACAGAGAAGGAAGTCCACGTCTCTGGGCGTGTCTGGAGGCTGGTTGCTGCTGCACAGAACGTCGATCGTCAACCGATCAAGAAGCTGACCGACTCCATGAAAGGCAGGCGTCTTACTGTTATTGAAAAGAAGGGGGCTATATTGGTGACTGATTTTTTTTTTTTAAATGTCTAGTTTTATTTGTACATTTTGAGTTGTTTGTTTATTATTCTCACTTTAACCGATGGAAATAAACAAGTGAGATGGGAAATCTTTTGTTTTTCATTTAATTGTGCACACTAATTGTGCACACATAGACAAAACCTCACTTTTACTTTCTAAAATATTCAGGTTTGGGGTTTGATGTTATTTTGGATTGACCGAGACCACTGTAGTTGTTCAATAATACAAATAATCCTCAAATACAACTTGCCTAATAATTGTGCTCACAGTAGTATTGCGCTGCTTTACGGCCAATAGGAATATAATGTGTTTTTCCTGACGTCAGTCAGTCGTCCTGCTGCTGCCTTTAAACGCAGCGCTGATACTTGATCTGGTGAATAGATCGACCACAACGAGATCCAGATATTCCCAACCGGGCTTCCAATTTTGATCACGCGGTCAATAACCACAAAACGTCTCTGAAGAATCAAGCGCGTGACGTCACGCACGCTGCGACCGTGTTTGGCGCAGCTCGCGCAGGGAGCCCGGCGTTACGTCAGTCACCGACACGGTGCTACGTCACCCCCCGTGTACTCCTCCTTCATCCACGGACAGCCTTCACCGCCCGGTTTGTTGTCACGGCACGTCCTACGTCACTGGTAGACGGACAGAGACGTGACGTCACCTTGAGATAACGCAGCACGCGGAAGCTGGTCCGACCCCCTGCGGACAGCGGATCAGGAGACCACAGGTAACGCAGACAAAACCGACCGCTGTCACCTCCCGTCGCCCCACACGCAGCACCGATAACCGGGGAGCTCAGCCCGCGAGGCTGCGGGGGGTCGGGGGGAGGAATCGAACCTTTGTGTTTGTCTAACCGGGAAACAGCACCATCGATCAAGAGCGTGACTTTAACGATGACGTCCACGTGCACGCGCAATGCAGGGGCGTCCGTTACAATTTCATTAAAGACATTTGTAAATAATAAAGCATTACATCGTCACTTTACTGGGAAGCAATACGTTTGATGTGCGCGTGCGTGGACAATAAATTGATGCGATACCGACTGAAGGGCACCCGAACACACGCATTATTTTGATTACACGCACACACACACACACACCACACACATGATTAGATCATTTGGAGACGGTATTACTGCGTGCGTGTCTGCAGCGAGATGCCGTCTCTGTCGGAGCAGCTGCAGGAGGTGCGCAGCCGGGCGGAGGTGTGTCTGTACTCCGGCGGCCGGGCGGGGGAGGTGCGGGTCGGGGTGGTGGCCATGGCGAAGCTACCCCTCCCGCCCGGCTTCAAATACCGCCACATCGCTGCAGAGACCATGGTGGTGGACAACAGCGTGGGCAGCAACAGGAAGGAGGTGAGAGGGAGCGAGGACGCAGACTGGACCCCCCCCCTGGAAACATCTGTATGACGTCCACAACGAGGTTTCACGTGTTTCCACGAGTCCTTTTGATTACCTAAAGACAGAGTTGCAACATTTGAATCCATCTCAAATAAGTGCAACGCTACTTAAGTAAACAGCGACAGCGCAGACAATAACATTCATTTAAGTTCCACCGTTTTAAAAAGTGTCAATCAGTTATATATCATCACATGCATGATATTGGGATTATACATCTACTGCCTTAGCCCACTCTATACAGTCACACTTTGTGCACCCTTTTGGTTGTGTGGACTGGAGGAATCCACCTTACTAACAATCCACTGTACGATTAGTCTTTCACAATACTCTGGGGTCATTAATATGATCTTACGTCTTTCATTTTCTGCGTTTCTTCCCCAGACCCTCGCATCTCTCCAGCGCTTGTCTACAGCATTGAACATCCTAGAGAAGTATGGCTGTAATCTGACAAATCCCAACAGGCCAAAGTACTGGAGGACAGTGAAACACAACAACCCGGTGTTCAGGGCCACTGTTGACGCTATTCAGGTAACATCATAAGTGCTCAGTACAGCCCTAGCGCAGTAATTCAAAGAGCCCACTTAATAAATATGAATGTACAGGCCTTCATTGCATATGGATTCCCCATGTAGACCGACAGTACTCCTGTAGGAAGAACCCGGGGAGGTGCACCTTCATATTCATGTGTTGAGGTCACACTACATCCCTTTTGCTCTTTCTGAACCCAGGGAGGACGAGCAGTGCTCTGTCTCTATGGCTACTCCAATCAGCTGGCAGACGGGCTCAGTTTCCCTGATGATGTCACAGATCCTGATGTGGGCTGCGTTGCTGCGGTAACGTTAGAAGTGATGAGTCTGAGGATTGAGCTGGAAATGCTTATTAAGGTGTGTGTGTGTGTGTGTGTGTGTGTGTGTTATGCATTGCTATTGAGTTACAGGGACAGGGATTAAGTACGGTGGCCCTGAAGTGTAAAACACAGATGGATTTGAGACACTTGAGAGGGTCCAGCAGGGTCCGTCCTCTGCTATAAGGCCCTGCCCTTTCCGTAAGAAGTTTATGTCGTTGTGTTTTCCTATTTGCCGTTGTGTTTTGCACTTCAGGGCCATCCTAATTAAGTTACACTTTGATGATTCCTCTGCATCTTCTATCTCCAGCAATAGAATGGACATTTCATATTATTCTGCATTTCTTTGCTGTCCTCAGTTTGCTCTAGAGCCGTATCGCCTCATAAACTGCTTTATTCTGGTATTCCTGTGCATATACAAACTGCAGTAATGATAATTCATTGGGTCTGATCACAGGAAGCTCATCCACACCCTGACTTCTACGAGAGAATCCTTCCTACGCTGAGACACAAGGTAGAGTCCCTCACATTACCGTCATAGCTCTCTCCAGTTACGTGTTTCACTAAAAGAATGTGTTTTGTTTGGATCGGATTATGGGATATATCGATGGCGAATCCCATGGGCAGAACAATCCAACCAGCAATAACAGTCAAAATAATTAGTCTCTTCTGCAAATATTTAAATTGAAACTGACAGGGAACTCAGTTCAAAATGCTTAACATGACATCATCAACCAAATGTCATCTCACTTCATTGCAACCAGACTGAAAACCTTTTTCCAGTTACATACGTAAGGCTTGCTTTATAGATGAGTAACGATGACCCGTAGTGCCGATTCTCCGAGTCAGCTTTTGCCCTCTCTTCTCTCTAGGATGTGGGTCTCAACACTGATGCTGTGATCTGCCACTTCTCCTCCTCTTCAAGCCACTCAGGCGGTCAGACCAAGTCACTGGCCCTCCCGCTCCACCGTCACTCCTCCAGGGAGAGGAGTGGTGGGAAGTCCTTGTCCTCCAACCACCAAAGTCTCAAGTCCACCCCCATCTCCTCCAGCAAGCACCCAGGTGAGGACAGAAGACACCTTCACAACATTGACATTTCTCCATCTTCTAGCTCTTCTTAGGCCAGAGTTTCAGTGACAGAAAGTTCATCCAATCCCCCATCAAGGACTTTTTGAAAGTGCCCTTCGTTTTGAGTTACCAAGGTAACTCGTAGCCCAAAATACCAAAAATGTAGTTTGCCTCAGAGGGCTTTATAGTCTGTACTGTTGATGTGACATCGTCTGTCCCGAAACTCCCCCAAGGATAAAAATAACCTTCAACAGGGAAAAAGATACCTTAGGGAGAACAACGAGTTTACCCCGGTGGACAAAAGGGGTCGCCTCCCAACGCCTTCGGGTGGTGGGGGGTGGGGGGGGACTCTGACTGTTGTCTGTGCATACTGTATGCACCAAACAGCAGCTCAGAGTATTCAGCCTTTTTGGAGAACCTGAATGGAGTCCTGCATGGGGTTCAAGTAGGGGACTCCATAGTCCTACTGGGAGACTTCAATGCGCACGTGGGCGACGATGGAGATAACTGGAGAGGAGTGATTGGGAGGACTAGCCTCCCTAATATGAACCCGAGCAGCTGTTTGTTATTGGACTTCTGTGACAGTCACGGATTGTCCATAACAAACACCATGTTCGAACATAAGGATGTTCATAAGTGTATGTGGTACCAGAACACTTGAGGCCAAAGATCAATGATCGATTTTGTAATCGTATCGTCTGATCTGAGGCCGCATGTTCTGCTGGACACTCGGGTAAAGAGAGGGGCAGAGCTGTCAACTGATCACCATCTGGTTGTGAGCTGGGTCAGAGGATGGGGGAAGACTCGGGACAGACCCGGTAAACCCAAGCGTGTTGTGAGGGTGAACTGGGCACATCTGGAGGAGGCCCAAAAGATTTTCAACTCATACCTCCGGCGGAGTTTCTCTCACATTCCTGTGGAGGTAGGGGACATTGAACCAGAGTGGTGTACAGTATGTTCAAAATTTCCATTGCTGAAGCCGCGGCAGTGAGTTGTGGCCTCAAGGTCTTAGGTGCATCAAGGGGCAGTAACCCTCGAACCCTGTTGTGGACACCGGTGGTCAGGGAAGCTGTCCGACTGAAGAAGGAGGCCTTCCGGGTAGTGATATCCGGTGGGACTCCGGAGGCAGTTGCAGTGTACCGACAGGCTCGAAGGGCAGCAGCCTCTGCCGTGATGGAGGCAAAGCAGCGAGTACGGGAGGAGTTCGGGGTAACTATGGAGAAGGACTTTCGGTCGGCACCAAAGTGCTTCTGGAAGACCATCCGGCACCTCAAGAGGGGGAAACGGGGAACCATTCCAGCTGTGTACAGTCAGGATGGGACCCTGTTGACCGCGAATGAGGAGGTTATCGGGCGGTGGAAGGAACACTTTGAGGAACTCCTGAATCCAACTACTACGCCCTCCTTGGTAGAGGCGAAGCTGGAGGCGGAGGGGAGATCATTGTCAATTTGCCTGGTGGAGGTCACTGAGGTAGTCAAACAACTCCGCAGTGGCAAAGCCACCCAGATTGATGAGATCCATCCAAGCAATTGGTGTTGGGGGGCTGTCTTGGATGACACGCCTGTTCAACATTGCGTGAAAGTCCGGGACAGTGCCAAAAGAGTGGTAGACCGAGGTGGTGGTACCTCTCATCAAAAAGGGGGACCAGAGAGTGTGTGCCAATTACAGGGGTATCACACTACTCAGCCTCCCAGGTAAAGTCTACTCCAAGGTGCTGGAAAGGAGGGTTCGGCCGATAGTCGAACCAAGGATTGAAGAGGAACAATGTGGTTTTCGTCCTGATCGTGGAACCACGGACCAGCTCTTTACTCTTTTCAGGATCATGGAGGGGGCTTGGGAGTATGCTCATCTAGTCTACATGTGTTTTGTCTCTCGGGTCCCCCGAGAGAGAATGTGGGAGGTGCTGCAGGAGTACGGGGTGAGGGGGTCCTTACTTTGGGGCCATCCAATCCCCGTACGCCCAAAGCCAGAGTTGTGTTCGGGTGCTCGGCAGTAAGTCGAAGGCGTTTCCGGTGGGGGTTGGCCTTCGCCAGGGCTGCGCCTTGTCACCAATCTTGTTTGTGGTCTTCATGGACAGGATATTGAGGCGTAGGAGGGTCTACAGTTCGGGGGGTTGCGGATCTCATCGCTACTTTTTCCAGATGATGTGGTCCTGATGGAATCTTCTGTCTGTGACCTCCAACTCTCACTGGAGCGTTTCGCAGCCGAGTGTGAAGCGGTCGGGATGAGGATTAGCACCTCTAAATCTGAGGCCATGGTTCTCAGCAGGAAACTGATGGATTGCCTACTCCAGGTAGGGAACGCGTCTTTACCCCAAGTGAAGGAGTTCAAGTACCTCGGGGTCTTGTTCACGAGTGAGGGGAAGATGGAATGTGAGTTTGGCCGCCGAATCAGAGCGGGGGGGCGGTATTGCACTCGCTTTACCGCACCGTTGTGACGAAAAGAGAGCTGAGGCGGAAGGCAAAGCTCTCGATCTACCGGTCAATCTACGTTCCTCACCTATGGTCATGGAGGATGGGTCATGACCGAAAGAACTAGGTCACCAGTACAAGCGGCCGAAATGGGTTTCCACAGTGGAGTGGCTTCTACAAGTATTTCAACTCCAATTGTCTGACTTTTTAATAAATTAAAGATCGACTAGTTAAATGTAGGTAACAGTTGTGATAATTTGTTGGGTACCCCTCGGCCCTGCTGGGCAGAGAAATCATAAGAGAAATCAACTGGCTCGAGTTTAAAGAATTTAATAACTAACATAAGTAATAAGCAATACAGTTACAAAGTGAAATAAAGTATGAATAGTGTAATATTATTTCGCGTCCCTGGTCCAAGTCTCATACGACCATCAATAATGGTTCACAGGAGGCCTCTGCCGGCTCCTTCTCCAGCTCAGCTCTTCCAATCACCCGGGGGGGTGGGGGGCTGAGGGGGGATGTTGCTTTTGCTGCAGTCTTATGTGATTGCCTGCACATTCAAGTCCAGCTCCTCCATCGTGAATCCGTCATGTGAAATGAGTCATGTGAAAGTTATCACATGACTCCCTCCTGGCTCCATCTGATGGTCTGATCTGAAATCCCTCATTGACCTGATCGATCCCTGTTCACTTAATACTACAGTACACTCATCATGTAAACATAACATAGCATGCATAATATCATCACATTACATCACATTTTAACCATTATGTTTAACTCAGTTCTATATGATGCAAAATCAGAATGTTTGCCTCGCCGGGCTGTCGTTCATCCTTTGCTCATTCACTACCTGACAGGAGAAAAACTCCCCAAAACCCTCTTTGGGGACAAAATTGGGAGAAATCCATAAAGGACGTCAATTAGCATCGTGACAGGATGTTAATGTGTACAGTAATTATATGACTTAAATGCCTATCAATTATGTTTGATTCATATTGTATTCACTCCATCTAACAAGCTAATGTAATAACTAATATCTAACATCTTACAGAATACAATTCTAACACTAAACATTACTACATGTATTATAATTTCTACCACTACTTGTGCTCTACTGCTTAAATCCCTAATATAATATAATCTTTGATTTGGCGCAGATTCATTGCAGAAAATGATGTGTCTGTTTCAGAGAACTGCACTATCTGTGGAATATTCCGCATCTCTGCTCACTGCCTCACCTGCCTCCAGGGCCTGTGCTCAGAATGTGACAGACTGTACCACTCCTACCCGGAGAGGGCCGACCACCGGCGAACAGCTGTCTCCTCATCGTCATTGTCGTCAACATCCTCCCAAAACAGCCCAAGGTATGAAACATGTGTTGTCTGATCCCCCGATTGAGTTTCACACCCTTCGTCTAGTCTACTCAACGCTTGCGTCACTCGCTCGCAGACAAAAACGTTTTGGAGCGTGAACCGGCAGCACGGCACCAAAGCGTAAATCCTTTAAAGGTGGAACTGAAAAGCTCAGGGAAAACAAGAAGAGACGTCTGGAGGAATGTGCATCAAAATATTAAACAATCTGACTTTTTGGGAAACCAACGACTGGTGACACGACAAATTGTTTTGTTATGCACCTTCAACTACACACATAACACACAATAACACACCCAGCATGCAACGCTACTGGTGTCACTGATGTTCATACCCTATGCTCTGTTAATTTCTACAATATATTCTACCCTCTTTATTGTGTGGTCTTTCTCTGCTGACATTCATACCTTAAAGCAATGTGGATGGATATGCAGTTTAACTATCTCATCTCCTGGTCGCAGTTCCTCCACCTGGCGTTGCCTTCACTGCACCAAAGTGAACTCCATCCACGATGTGCTGTGTGAGGAGTGTGAGCAGCCCCGCCTGGAACCGATCGGCTCGAAAGCAGAAGAGTCTCAGCCTGCCACCATCACGGGTCCGTCTCATGGTGCATCCTACAGCCATCGCAACCAGTATAGTGGCCAGACCCACCTCCTTTATAGCTCCATGGAAGTTGTGATGCAAGCAAATAGATACAACTGCAACTAGATTAAGTGTGACTTCTATTGATATATGTGTGTGTGTGTGTTTGTGTGTGTGTTCCCCTCAGAGTGGCAATGTAAGAGCTGCACCATGGTGAACGCAGCCAGCAGTATTCTGTGCAAAGTGTGTGAAAGACCTCGTTTGGCTACGCGGCCTCCAGTGACCCCGTCGCATCCACCCATCACGCCCCCTAGACCACCAGCCCCAGTGCTGGGCATGCCGGGTGACCCGGACAGCCAGGTCAGTTCAGTGTGTGTGTTTGTGTGTATCTGGGGATATATGACTCAAATAATATCTTGATATGTTGTTGCGTAATTTACACTATTTAATACAGTAAATGAATTGTGAGTTTAGATGCAGCACAGATTCAACAGCAGAATGTGCTGATGAAGTCTCAGTTTATCTCCAACCCTCACTTTGGCCTCAAAGCCTCAACCGTTAAATACGTACGTTAAATGAAAGTATTCCATCACACGTGCAGTGTACTTCACATTTTACAGTTTATTCCTGTTAATTCCTGTAAATTCCCATTGAAAGTTTCCAACTTTAATATTCCTGGACCCTAGTAACGCTACGGGACAAGTAGTTGATGAAAAAGCCTGCAGGAATTTATATACAGTGTGCTGCTGCACAAGGCATTGAGTTTTGTCGTTGAGATACTTGGTTTATTGTAATTTGTTTGTATTCTTTAGCCGAAACTGTCACTGTAAATGTCACTTGCCCCGTATAGTAAGATTGAGGTGATTTATATATAGGTGATACTATTTGTAAAAGTGATTGTCTCCCTCTCTCTGTTTCTGGGCCCAGTGGGTGTGTCAGTTCTGCACTTATCTCAACTACTCTCCCGCTACGGTGTGTGAGATGTGTGACCTGGCTCGTCCAGAGCCCGCCCCCCTGCCCGCAAAGCTCCGCCCCCCCTCCCCGGTCAGACGGGTCCCCGCGCTGCCGATCAAACCCAAACAGCCCCCCACTGAAGACCTGGACTCCTGCAGGCAGAGGCGGATGAAGGAGGAGGGACTGAAGCTCATTCAGTTGATCAGAGCAAGTCGCCTCCATCTGCGTCACTCGGCCTTGTATCTCCTCTAAATGCATTTGTGTTGTCTAACGCGTCTGTGCTTCTGTCCGTCAGGACGGTGAGAAGAAAGGAGTGAGTCCAGAGGAGGTGTACACGAGCAGGAGGGCAGCAGGGGACAGCAGCATCCTGCCGTGTAAGTGGTTAAAGACGGAACTTCCTCTGCTGCTCGACCAGATCCGGACGTCAGTGGCGACCTTTCCCCTTCAGCCCGTGTGTGACCAGAATGCAGCAGAGCACACAGTCAGTATGCTCCTCTCCGTCCCTCATAGGCTTTATGTTCCTCGGTTAGCCATTGACCTCCATCTACCACAGAGCAGGTCGTGTGAAGCATCTGCACAGGAGGCCGGGAAAGAAGCGCAAAGTGCGAATGGCGTCCAGCTGTCCAGAGCGGAGGCCAAGCAGGCCTGGCTGAGAGCGGGGGGCGACAAGGAGCGAGCTGCCAGGCAGGCCCTGAGAGACCGACTCACCAAGGTCTCTGACGTCCAACACAACATTCCCTGCGTCTCTCTTTTGCTCCGGAGAGGGTGCGATGTGTTTTCTTTCATTCCTCCTCAGGTGCAGGAGCTATGTGCGCTCGGCTTCAGCAACGCGGCTCGCTGCCATGAGGGGCTGAGGCAGAGCGGCGGCGAGGTGAGGGGCGCCCTGGCCCTGCTGCAGCGACCACTCCTGGAGCCCTTCCACAAGCACATCTGGAGTGACAAGCCCGAGCCTCCCGTGGACATCCATCACCCTGACAAGCAGGTGAGGCCATGCAGGCATGCTCATCAGGCCCGGGTCCAGTCACTGTGCTTAGTCCACATATTCCACACTCCTCAGTGCAACGAAGACCAACACCTCTGTGAAATGTCAACTGCAGGCTGCGTAGGGAAATGACAGGAGAGGAAGCACAGGTTTTTAAAAATGTGGCCTGCAGAGATGCGTCTTCCCTGCAGCGGTCAGTTGTGTGTATGTGTGTGTCCTGTGTGTGTGTATGCTTGTGTCAAAGTCGGCAACTTCTGTTCAACATGAGTAAGCTTTAAATAAACCTGCATCCTGTGCAGCAGCAGACAAATTGGCCATCAGTTTAAACCTTTTTCGGCGGCTGTACCACAAGGAGGGAAATTGTCCTTTTTAATGCCACGAGGTGTCACGTGTTTGCAGCAAAGTACAACATGCGGCTTCTTAGCAGCTTGGCTAAGAGTGGTACCACCAGCGCCAAGTACAACAGTCATTCCATGGATAAAAAATCAGGACGAGTGTTCCTGACTGAAAAGGAATATTTGAGCATTGTTGGTTTCTAGAATAATTCAAGTCAAAGCGACGCAGAGGAAACCCGCCATGCCGACGGAGCTTGACGCTCACCTGAAAATGTATTATTCATTCCTCTGGGTCTTAAACACCAATATTGCGCTGTGTTTGCTGCACGGGAGAAACGTTTGATTAAAGGTCTTCTGCGCCTGGTGTGGGGGTCATGGGGTCATGGCTGCGATGGCCGTCCTGGCGTTATCCTCCTCTGTAACTCCGTCCGTCTCTTCCAGCGCATATGTCGGAGGCTGCTCGCGGTGTACGACCTCCCCAGCTGGGGTCGCTGTGAGCTGGCACTGTCGCTGCTCCTTGAGCACAGCGCCCCCTACTCCCTGGAGGACGTGGTGCAGGCGGTGCGGGAGTCCCACGATAGAGAGTTCATCAAGCGGGTGCTGGCTAAAGAGTGTCCCATCTGCCTCTCCGTCTTCCCCCACAGCAAGGTACCCAGGGGGCACCTTGATACGTGCTCTGCTCACACCCCCCTCCCCCCACAAACACTTTCCCTCTCTCCTGTCTATTTCAGATGCAGTCTCTGACGTCCTGTCAGTGCTCCGTGTGCTGTGGGTGCTTCCAGCAACACTTCACCATCGCCGTCAGGGACAAACATATCAGAGACATGGTGTGTCCCGTCTGCTGGGAGCCGGACATCAACGACCCCGAACACCTCAACAGCTACTTCTCCACCCTGGACATCCAGGTAGGGAGGGCGTGTGAGGGAGGACAAGATGAGGACGGCTGGTGCTTCTTGCACCAGGAAGAGGCCAGACAACGTTCTGTGTCTCCTTGTGAGAGCGGTGTTCAACGATTAGGGACAAAAAACATCATACAGCTGTGCTTTACGTATCTGCACAAAAACAAACCATTTCGTTCTAAGGCCCCTTGTCTAAAGTTGTGAGGGACGCCAGTCGGGACCCGTAGCGCTGTGTCTGCAAATACATTTCTGATTTCTCTCTATTGCTCTGCCTTTATTTTTGATGAAAAGGTAACATCCATATTTTGCCAGTAATTTAGCAGGGAGAATATGAATCATATAAATAATTGCACTTGAAAACCCTTGTGGGCCCTTTTGTTCTGAAATGTTATTAACCGTCTTTAATGAATCAGACATTGAGATTTCATTGGAGGGTTTTAGTCCTTTGCACAGTACGACAAACTATATTATTTCTACATGTAGATAAGGAAGAAATGCTTCAAGCTCACAATAGAAGCAGGAGATATCTTCACTGGTATTCACACATATATAACTACTTTACCCTCATGTTAAGCTTGTAAAGACATGAGTATGTAACCACATGTCACTGTCACATTCTACATAATGAACATTTATTTGAGCCTAAAATTATGTTTCCTAGCAAACCCATAACTTCTTTTACATAAACCTGGTGCTAGTTATGTTTACGTCGTAACCACGTCACCGCCTACGTTACAAACTCACTTATTTCAACCTCAAACCATAATGTTCCTATTCCTAACCAATTAGGTTAAAACATATCAAGCCGTGGGTCTAAAGCTTTTTCTGACTCGACCCCAAATTGGACATGTGGAATTGTTTTTGAATTAACATTTTTGTGACTCCTCCATCGATGCTTTTTCAAATAATGATCTAGGAATCACTTTCCAGAAAACCAGAATGCTCCATCAGCCAAAAACAACATCATGTACAACATCTTGTTTCAGCAATGCAATTCCATCTGTGCAAAAAAAAAAAAGTGGCTGTAACCGACTTTGCAGACCTGAATCCGTCTCAGTTCAGGCTCAATGTGGAGCCTGGACCTGTATTTTGTTTTGAGAGAGACACTTCGGCACCTGTAATACCACTGCAACCCGTTAGAGGGTCGCGCCCCACAGTTTGAGAAACCCTGAGATAACGCAACAAACAACCATAGTATCAGTAATACTATTTAAAGTATAACGACGTGTTTCCTGGATCCGGGTTCAGCTGTGACGACGTGTCGGACACACGAACGTCCCTTTGACGTTTCATGTCTGCTGTTCTTTGAGTCTCAGCACGTCTACTACAAGTACAGCTCTATGCCGACTGGGTGCGTACTACCTCTCTGGGATTGTTTCCTACGTGGTGTTTTGGTATTGTGTTCATCAGCTGCGCGAGTGTCTGGAGCCGGAGGTCTACGAGCTGTTCCATAAGAAGCTGACGGAGCAGGCCCTCATCAAGGACCCGAAGTTCCTCTGGTGCTGCCATGTGAGCACACGACCAGTCGCTCTCAGCTGTGTCAACAGCAAATGTCCTTTTTAAGACTCTCCATCCCTGTGGAGGTGGATGACCAGCACATGCAGATTTAAAATCTATTATTATATTATTTCAATATCATTGTCAAAGTAGATGCCTCTGGCGTCAAAATGTTATTTCTAACATGTTATTTGTGCAATCTGTTTGGTTAAGTCTCATAAAAATTCACTTTTATTGTAAGAATAACTATTAATCCAATACATTGTCTTTATCGTTTTAAATCACAATAAATACTGTATAAAGATCAGTTTTCCAGGCCTCATCTTTTTACTTTTATTGACTAAATGAATGTTTTATATTTTCTCAAAGCATGTGTCTCTTGACAGTGTTCATATGGGTTCATCTACGATGGAGACCAGCTGAAAGTCACCTGTTTCCAGTGTCGTAACAGTTTCTGCGCTCAGTGTAAGAAGCCTGTAAGTACGAGTCCCTCTGTGTTGTGTTGATTTAAACATCACTATGGACAACAATGGAAAGGTCCTCGTTGGGCTGCTGTGAACGCCCGTCTCCGTTTGCTCCTGCAGTGGGAGTCCCAGCATGCCGGTCTGTCCTGTGAACAGTACCAGTCGTGGAAGAGAGAGAATGACCCCGAGTACCAGAGGCAGGGCCTGGCTGGGTACCTCAGAGACAACGGCATCAGTAAGTGCGACCGCACCTTTCAGTTAGGAGACTAAATCTTTTCATCCCATAAGCCAAACCTTTTATGTCGTCATCACCATGGCGATGTTTTCAATACCACAGCGAGCTTTCCCTCTCAATCCGTTCCTTTATTGGTGGAAATGGTCTTCTGTAGATCGTAACGATGATTCAGTGAATAAATAAGTGCTTATTTGTACCTTGTACCCTTCCCCTCTCGTCCCTGCAGCGTGTCCTAACTGTCGCTTTCAGTACGCGCTGTCCAAAGGAGGCTGCATGCATTTCTGCTGCTCGCAGTGTCGGTACCAGTTCTGCAGCGGCTGCAACAACCCGTTCCACACTGTGAGTCTGATACGCACTGTGGTCCTGGACCGGGCTTCTGCTTCAACATGGTGGAGAAAGAACTGTTGTTCAGACATACGGGGGTCCACACTGCACGGATTATTACGACCCAGTAAATAGGTTCTTAAAGGCAAGATTCAAACATGTTTTGATACTTTAGTTGGAATCTTATTACCTCATACCCGTCTTTAAACCTGCAACATTTGGATGCAGATCGGCAAAGCTACTTTTATTGGAAAGTACCAGGAATTAGAAAACACGAGGCAGGATTTCTTTGGTTGGAGGATTGTCTCTATTTTTATTCCAGCGTAATCCTGGAGCTGGTAATATTTAGCAACGTGGGTGGGGATCATTTCCTTAAATTTTCATCTGTGAAATACAGTAGGGGAAATAAATATTGTGTATTGGCAAGTTCTATAACTTGACATATGAATTATCTTTGCGATCCACCTGAGGGAGACGGTGCAAATATTTTCATCATCACCAACATGAAATAGGCATTAATTAGTAGTAATGTTTCACAATTTTTGCAAGTTCTTAAAGTAAAGACAAACAGAAAGTCGCCTGTTGAATGTTGTCGGAGTTTAGTCTTTAATTACTTTGTATAATCATGAATGACTGTCACCTGACCTTTTAAAAGCTTTGAATGGAGAAATATATGTCATTATTCTTATGATTATTAGATTTAAAGTCGGTTTAAACACCCTCAGCCTCCCTGAGCGAGTGACAGGCGTCTCCTCCCCTGTCGTCCTATCAGACGTGTGCTGTGGACGAATGCAGCGTGTCTGGGTTACACGCCCATCATCCCAGGGACTGCCTGTTCTACCTGAGGGACTGGGAACCGGCCAGACTGCAGGCTTTACTGGAGGTACACACACACACACACACACATGAGTCATACTTGCTGTCTTCTGATATTTGTACTCATCAAACAGGAAAACAAACAAATCTATTGTGATATTTATTCATATTGTGGATTATTGCCACCAGCGAGGAGGAAGCTTTCAGGCGATCTTCCTCCTTGCAGCTGCCAACTTCTTTAGGAGTTTGTAGTGATATGAAAATAAGTATTTGATCTGCAGCTCCTCACGTCTTTTTACAGGTTATTCAGCTTTATGTGTCGTCCAATCTCTTTGGTGAAATACAGAGCTTTCTATGCTGCCTATTGTTTTTATCTCTTGGTCATCTTGCGCTGCAATGGTAATGGTTTGAAATGGTATGAATAATGCATGGGCAGGGTGTGTTAATTAACTTCAATTAACTTAGATATCATATGTTTCAGCCACTTGATTTTGTCCAACACAGTTCCCTGTGTTAAGGGTACGACTGTGAGTCACCCATGCTCTCTTTTTCTTTGACTGCCAGAACAACGGAGTGGCCTTCAACACCGAACCGCCACCTGGAACACAGACAGGTATGTCAGGAGCCCACAGAGCCGGCACGTATCTGTGATAGCTGGAACCAAAAAACCTAAAAGCCACAAAGGTCTTTAGGAAGTTTCTGAGCGGACCAGGTTCTCTTCTCATAATGGCCTGACGTGGCCCATCGCGTTCAGCCTTCTCCTGTCAAGAGGAACAGGTCGTTCTAATAGATGACTTAACCATTAGCATACATCGGATGATTTACAGGCTCGTACATGAACATTTATGTGTCCCCGAGCACCGACTTCACCACTGTATATTCAACCCACGTGTGAATTGGATCCCGTGGACACTTCTCGAGACCAGAACCACAACTATATGGACTGTGACACAATTTCCCGCAACTGCCACCGATTTCATGTGAAGCAGCAAATATTTGGTTGAACTGTAAACTTTTAGCTTTAATTCAATGGATAGAACCGAAACACCACATTGAAATGACTGATTCAGAAACTCAAGTCAATGTGAGGTTTTTGTTATATACATTCAGTTAAAGCTGAACGTTTACACTTCGACCACATATTGGCAAATACTTCTGTCTCTGACATTATGAGAAGGTCACGCAAACCTTCCTAGAGTCACATAGTTTGATGCATTTCCCCTTATGAATGCATCTCCTGTGTCTGCGGTTGCCTTCCACCCCCCCCCCCCCCCCCCGGTGGTCTTCGTCTCTTTCTTTATCTCCTTCTCCAGGTCTGTGTGGGGTGATCGAGCAGAAGGACGAGGGCGGCCAGCAGCCAGATTCCGCCTGCGGAGCTCAAACCCAACCGGGACATGCAGGACTCTGCGAGTGAGATGACTTTATTCTCTCTTTATTCTCTGTACAGGATGTATCTTGTTTCACACAGCAACAGCTTTCTGCATACTTTGAATGTGTTTTGTATTGTTTTTGTTAATAATACTGCTCATATTAATATTCATGTAATATTTCAAACCTAATTGCCAGGTTTAACTGTTGTGTAGCTAACTAAGCGCTAGATTCCTAATCTCTATTTAGATTATGCCCGACTAGGCTTGGCTGATGTTTAACTTGATATTGGTTGGCCTCACTCTGTGTGTGCTTTGCCTCACTGTAGCTGGCTTAGGGTTGGTATCACCGCCGTACAGACGCCCTGAGTCAAACTGGTGTCCGTAGATCTCAGAAGCAAGTCGGGGCTGAAGACGGAGACGCCGCAAATCTCTGCTCCTTTCTCAAAACCCTATCGGAAAATTAGAACGCAATGAGATGTATCTATACTTGCAGAAGGGCCTTTGTGTGTATAAAATGCATTGTCTTTGTTCTGTACTTTCCACGCTGTTCAGTGTGAGGTCGAACTCTCCACAACAAAGGCTCGGGGCCGGTGCTGCCAAAAGAATCAACTGGCTTCAGTTAAAAAATCCCAAATGATTTAACAACTACCAGGAGCAAGTACAGTTACAAACTGAATAGCGATATGAACAGTTTAATATTTGAGACTCTCTATTCTGACCATCAAGTATGGAATTCCAAAGATTCTGGAGATTCCCCCTGGGGTCTTCCTTTTTGCATTTGGCGGGTGTGTCTGTTATTTTTACAGCCTTCTGCTATTGGCTGCACGGCCTTCAGCAGCTCCACCCACTTTGGTGACCGCCCAATCAGTTTATCACCTTCCTCTCTGGCTCCATCTGGTGACCTGGAATCGCTCGCTCCCCTGACCAGACCATAACCTCATTGATATCTCAATACATTCAATGATTACGCCTTCATTCTAAAGCTTCCTCAAGTCAACATAATATGGCATGCAATAAATCATCATCAGGCGGCACGGTGGCGTGGTGGTTAGCACTGTTGCCTCACAGCAAGAAGGTCCTGGGTTCGATTCCGCCCAGTGGCCTTTCTGTGTGGAGTCTGCATGTTCTCCCCGTGTCTGCGTGGGTTCTCTCTCCGGCTTCCTCCCACAGTCCAAAGACATGCTCTGGGGATCAGGTTGATTGGGTACTTTAAATTGCCCGTAGGTGTGTGAATGTGAGTGTGAATGGTTGTGTGTAGCCCTGTGATTGGCTGGTGACCAATCCAGGGTGAACCCCGTCTATCGCCTAAATCCCTTTCCTGGGATAGACTCCAGCCCCCCCGCGACCGTGTGCAGGACCGTGTGCAGGATAAGTGGTTTGAAGATGGATGGATACATTGTCATCATCTCATATAACATGTATAATACAAATAATACACTAAGCATAACATGTCCTACATCATCATATTTCAGTACTCATTTCATATAGTATATAACGAAACTCAAAAACTCTTCTATGAGGGTAAAATAAGGAAGAACATTACATTATATATCTATATATATATATATATATATAGATATATAATGAATTGGACTTTGAGTGGCTTCTTTCTATTGGCCGTGCGAACTCCACCCCTTTGGTGCAGACATCAGTCATAACCATATATATATATATATAATGTAATGTTCAGCCTGGAAGAGGATTATATATTATATATATATATATATGTATATATATATATATATACATATATATACATATATATATATACAGAACTTATTCTACTATCGAATAACACACAAACGAAAATTCTGCCACTAATCATTTCATTTTCAATAATTGACAATCTACAAGACGATACAATTCCCCATTCTCAATAAATCCAGTTACTAGGTCAGCAAGCAGAGGATGGCCAAAACTACCAAACAAAAGGCCGGTTGTGAAAAAGAGTCCCTCTCATATTGTCAGCGCCACCGCAGGAAGCTGCGTATGCTAACAAGGTGTTGTACTTACTGTTGTCCAGGAAGCATTACCGGGAGTACCTGGTCAGCCTAATCAACAGCCATTCCATTGACCCCGCCCCCATCTACAGCTCCAACGAGCTGCTACTGGCCTGCAAGAGGTACAAGGTGGACGACAGCCGCAGGGACGGAGAGGACGGCTTCACCTTCTTCAGCCGGCTGCTCAAGGTGAGAGCGTGCACACGTTCGGTCAATGAATTGGACTTTGAGTGGCTTCTTTCTATTGGCCGTGCGAACTCCACCCCTTTGGTGCAGACATCAGTCATAACCACATAATGGACAGTATATGAAAAGTGAACGTCGTCCTCGTGGCGTCACCCTTTGGTTTGAGGACTGCAGTTACTGCCTTGATTTTGTTTTTCACAACCAATCAACTGAAGGTACCATATTAGAAATGCGGGGAGTGACGTAGCGATGTCGTACCCGGCTTCTGTCAATCACAGAAAGCCCTGTGTGTGTGTGTGTGTGTGTGTGTATAACTCTCACAGTGTATGATCTACATTCTGTTCCATCTATCATGTTTAGTTTTAACACTAACGTCGCTTTGTGTCCCTCTGCAGAAACTGATGGATGAAGTACCGCTTGGCGACAAGGTGCCACGCAAGAAGTAGGAAACTAACTTCCTGTTTCCTGCAGTGGTGATGTTGACCTTTCAACTCAGCTGCAAAAGCGTGAAATAGGAACAGTGTTGTTTACTGTTTGGATCCCTAATTCCTCATCTCGTTTGAATGTTGTTGCTTTCTTCTAATCAAGTTAATTTTGATCAATTTGATCATCAACTGGCTCAGTTTACTCCAGTTTACTGGTATTTACACCATTAAACGCCCCAGCAGACGCTCACACTCTTAGGGGGGACGTTAGGATTGGGCCAAAGCTCCACAGGTGGTTTGAAATGCTGTACACTGCCTGTCTCCTGAGGGGTGTGGTCATGTTGTGTCCCCCCCAAGTGTTGTGTGGATGATTACACTTCTTTTTTTCTTTTGCTGTTCTCTCTTGTCCCATTCTAATTGAATAGACCCTGGAAGGGGGCGGGGCAGTGGGGAAACCCACAGATGGGAGGCTGTCTAGTAGGCCACTCCCTCTCTGAACTGTCTCTGGTTGGTTTACAGGCCTCTAGGCAGGAGGAGTGGGCGTGGTTAGAACATCAAGTAAGCCAATCAGAGGCAGAGCAGGGCATGCCATGTGCTCACCATGGTGCTTCCTGTTGACATGGACAGAGTCGATCAGTAGTCCGATGGTTGGCCTTTTTCTGACTGTAGCAGTTAACCGTAGTTAACCGACCTGTGATAATAATAAAACCGCGTAGCAAGGAGTTGCCGTGGCAATCTCCCTCGGATACAGGCCCCAGGTCTGCAATCACCATCCTGTGTTCACTGCACATTTATTTCACTTATTGTGTGTAAAATGAATGACTATTTATTGTGCATGTTGAATCTTGACATGTGGGTATTGTAGCGTAATCACTGGTGTCAACAGTATTTACAGATTATTTTGTCTTTGAAATATTTGTGGCAAAGCAGAGTTGCCAATCAGAGTCTGATTTGGAGTTGGTAATATGCGTTAGTATGCACAACTTGAACTTGTGTTGAACAGGTTTTTCATTCTGAAAATGTGAAAACAGATTTAAATGACTTGTTTTGTTTCAGGAGATTGTTGTGCTGGGGGGTGAACCCCCACCACTTGCATGTTGAGGCCTGTACCTTGCTGAAAATAAATGCTCTTTCATGACATATCACGTGGTTTCTTTATTTGGTTATGTAAACCTGTAAGAATACAATTCCACAGAAAGTAAAGGTACCTGTGCTGAGGCGGTTCCTAAACATGCTGCATCCTTACAGAAAAGCCTGCGGTTATTTGGCCTTATTTCCAAAGATGCCAGGCGAATGTATCGTCTTCTCTTTTGGAATCTATCAGGGAAAAAACATTTTTGGACAGATTTGTTTTGAGCAACAAATTGAAGGAGGAAAATTTGTCCTCAAAAAAATGTTGGTGTACACATGGACAAAATAGTTGGTACGCTCCATCAGAGATAGAAAAACCCACAATGCTGACTGAAATAACTTGAAAATGACTAAAGTCGTAAGTTATGGGAATTAAGTCATTCTCCTGTAGGAGGTGCAGGTCCCTGCACAGACACAAGACATTGTGACATAAGCGAGACATAAAAACGCTTGGCTCAATGTTTGTCCATCTCTCAAGATTAACGCGTTCATCTCACCCTCGATCTTATTCAAACATTGGATTCCTCTTCGAACCTCAGATGTACAGCCCTCGTGCACCGGGTCCAGGACCACCTAGAGCAGGGGTCTCAAACTCATTTTATGTAGGGGGCCACATACCGTCCACCTTGATGTCACGCGGATCCGGACCAGTCAAATAATCGGTGATGGTACAGTCGACGGGGGGTTGGAGGGCGCAGTTGGCACGCCGTCATTTTCGAGCGGAAACTGCTGCCTGGAGGAACGCTGTTGTCGGTCCCCCTGGTCCAACGCATGCACTCACTCGCATTGTGCGACCCCCAGTGGACTTTTTAGGAAATAGCAGCTACTTTTATAGAAATGCAATTTATGTCTTTCTGTCATTTTTACGCTTAGCAAAGTCACCCGGCGGGCCGCGCTGGACCCCCCGGCGGGCCTGATCCGTATGTTTGACACCGCTGACTTAGAGGGTCCTGGACATCAACGGCTGGTACCTCATGACCACTGAGCACCTGGAGAGCCGTAGATGTCAGAAGGTAAGCGAGTGATCACAGGGCATCATCGGGCCGCTGGATGGACGAGGGGATGAGGCGGTATACGACGCCAGTCCCCCCCAGCTGATCGATGTGTAACATTTTTTTCAACGACTGATATTACTAAAAGTTTGGTTAAGCTCAGAAGCAAACAAACTGGTGCTTTTTAATAGCTAATACTTTATCAATACATCTGTGGAAAAAGAACCTGATTCAGTGGCCCCACACAGCTGGACTCGCACAACATGCACAAGCGACATGTCTCTGCCAGCAGAGACAAAGCGGCCGAAGGACAGAGGACAGGAGGAATGACTGATGATGTCCGTCTTCTTCATTCTTTATAAACTTAACTCAGAACTGTGATTTATTCTATACATGTTTTACATTTGTTTCTGAAGAAATATTCAAGACTTGATATAGGATCTTTATTGCTGTAAACATGTGGGAAAAGTGCTGAGTATTTAGTTAGTTGCAATCTGCAACCGACCACCAGATGCCACTAAATCTCTCTTGCAGTGCCTGTGATGTTTGCTTTAATTAAGGCAGTGGTTCCCAAACTGGGGGGCGGGAACCCCATAGGGAAGGTGGTGGGCCGACAGAGGGGTCGCGGCTTAATCACCAACCTGCACACAGCCACGACAGTAAACAAAGAAACCGAAATGACTTGACCAGCATCGTGTTCTCAAAGCGGACGAGTGCAGCTAGAGACACAGAGACGTGCTGCACCAGAAAGACAGCGAAAGAGAAAAGGAAAGAAGGAAAGAAGCAACATACAAAGTTGACGGGTAGCAAACATAAATCAGAAGGCAAGTCTGATCCAGCTGAAACCACATTAAGAACGAGGTAAAGGTTAAAGTACATGAGGCCCATCGGCCCGTTTACCAGCACTAAGGCTGCGACAGCATGAAGCCCGCTATATTCAAGAAACCCGCCTCCAAGGAAGGAACAGGCTACTGTGACTTTAAGGGATTATTGACTCTCTCTCTCTCTCTCTCTCTGTCTCAGTCCCGGTTGGACCGGGTCCCGTGCGGAGCGCAGTCAGTGCCGACCGTCCTACCGGCCACACGTCGCACGGAAGGAACAGAGCTCCGTCTCTCGTCTCATTTCGTCCCTCCTTCCTCTTTCATTCATCCTTCTATAGCCGGACTTCATCCAAGGAGACTTTATTGCGCGGCCTTGCAGACGTGGAGATGTCAGGAGGCGTTCGGAAGGTGGGACACGTGTCTCTGATTTAGAGACATGTCTCTGTTCGGGGCAGACAGCTGCTCACACTTGTTTTCGTAGAGAACCTTGTAGCCACTGGAGAACCCGAGCTTTGTTGGCAGAGATGTGGCGCACGTCGTTGCTGCTGCTGGTGTTGTGCAGCTCTCTGCAGGCCGACCCGGAGGCTCCCCACGCGGCCAGAGAGGCGGACCATCTGCGGCAGCGCTCCCCGGGGACGGACGCTCCTGTTGCGGGACCGGAGCAGAGCGCTCAGCAGCCCACCGCCAGGCCCCTGGAAGAGGAGCTGGATAACCAGGAGAACATCATCAGCCAGGTCGGTGGGACCCTTCAAAGCCCGGGTTGATGTCCCTCTCCATGAGACTTCCACATAAACCATTCTTTTTTTATTTACAAGTTAATTTATTTCCTATTAAACCAATTCCAAAGCCCACGAATGATTTGTTCAGCTCAGTGTAATTAATTTGCTGTGCTTAATAGTTGACATAGGGACCAGAGTTAGACTCCATCCTGTCTTTCAGCTGCTGGGCGATTACGACAAAGTGAAGACCGTGTCGTCCGGGTCGGACTGCGTGTGCCGCTGTATCGTGCGACCCATCCCACGCTCCCACTGCAGCGGCCTGCCGTCGCCCTCCGGGGATTCGTACTCCGTGGAGACGGTCACCAAGGGAACGGACTGCAAGAAGTGCGTGTGCATGGCTCCGCCTTCCGCCGTCAACCCATGTGAGGGAGAGTACAGATTTAAGAAGCTGCAGGAGGCCGGCAAAGAGGACATCAAGGTACACACAACACAACATGCATGTCTGCTGCTTTCTCTGTCTTTGGACCTTTCCGTGGCGTTGACCTCGGGGCTTTGTCCCGTCCAGCTGGCGACCATCATTGAATTGTTGGAGGGCTCTCTTTACGGAATGGACTTGTTGAAGCTCCACTCGGTCACCACCAAGCTGCTGAGCAGGGTGGACAACGTGGAGAAGGTGAGCACACACGCAAACAGAGACGTGGACACACACACAACAAACACATGCGCAGGACAATCATCCACTACACCCTCGGTGTACCGCACGAGGGAATGCAACTCCAAACCTTTTTATCTGCCTTCCATTTTCCAAAGATAAAAGCTCCAATCACTCATCATTATAATCATTATACACACTTGTGTTTTTCATTTAAAGAGCAAGGGGAATCCTGGTAAACCAAAATTAGTTTTTGTTGCAGTCAGCAAGAGGAATGCAGATTTCTAAAAACATCTCACCCCAAATAAGAGGAGCAGGAACACTGAAGCACATAACAACCCCTTTTCTGTCGCTTTGTATCCCCACCACACACCTCTATGCTGTAAGCTATGATGGGAAACTTTTTTTTCATTTTTCATGAGGAAATGAATTCTTAATAGGAGCAGAGTATTTGCAACACACATACTGTGTTTATTAGAACCAAAGTAACTGGTATCCTCTGTGCATGTCTTCTATAGCGGCTTTCCAAGAGCATATTTCCCCAGATGATCGAGGTATATATCTGCATTAATTTATTGAGCCAAAGTTCCTTTACATGTTGGAAACTGGTGCCGTTAAAAACGATGGTGAATTACAGTATTCACCCCCCCTGGACTTTTTTCCATCAACACAACACGCACAGTACTTTTATTGTGACAATAATGAGAAGAAAAAAGTTGGCATCTGTTGGACGCATAAGTATTCACCCCCTGAGTCAATACTTTACCTGTTTAAACCTATTTTACTGCAACTACAGACCTTTGACTGGGACGATTTTAGAACGTTAACATGCTTTGATTTGAACCATTCCCTTGTGGCTGTGGCTGTATCTTTAGGGTCAGATGATGAACCTTTGGCTTTGGAAAGTCTTTTGCAGAATGCATCATGTTTTCTTCAAGGATTTCCCGGTATTTGGCTCCATCCATCTTTCCTAGTACTAGTTTCCCTGTACCTGCTGAAGAGAAGCATCTCCACAGCATGATGCTACCGCCATGTTTCCCTGTTGCCATGGTGTGCTCAGGGTGATGGGCAGTGTTGGGTTTCCACCACATAGCGTTTTGCATTGATGGCAAAAAGTTCTATTTTTTGGCTCATCTGACCGGAGCTCCTTCTTCCACATGTTTGTTGTGTCTCCCACATGCCTTGTGTTGAACTCCAAACAGCGCTTTCTTCTTGACACTCTTCCATAAAGGCCAGATTTGAGGAGTACACAGATAATAGTTGACCTGTGGACAGATTCTCCCGCTCAGATGTGAATCTCTGCCGCTTCTCCTCTTGGTTGCTGCTCTGATTCATTCTCTCCTTGTCCGCCTGGTCAGTTTGGTAGGACGGCCTTCTCTTGGTAGCTTTGCGGTTATGCCGTATTCTTTCCATTTTGTGATGATGGATTTTATGGGGCTGTGTGAGATGCTCAAAGCTTGGCATATAACGTTGCTTCATACTTCATCCCTGAGCTGTTTGGTGACTCCTTTGTCTTCATGATGCTCTTTGTTCAGTAATGCTCTCAAACACACTCCTACACAGAACTGTATTCATACTGAGATTAAATGGCAGACAGGTGGACTCGATCTACTAATTATGTCACTTTTGTTTTAGAATCATTTTGAAATCCATGTAAACTTTCCCTCAACTTCCAGATGATGGAATATTTTTTGTTTGTCTATTTGTCTAAAATCCCAATGAAATCTGTGGTTGAACCATGACAGGAAAAGTCCAAGGGGGGTGAATACACATGCAAGGCACTGTATCTAATGGATAACTGTGATTATGTGAGCAGAAAGCCTTTTGTGAATCCAGCTTGTGTGTGTGTCTGTATGTGTGCACGTCAGGCTTTTGCCCGTAATTTTACTGAGAGAACGAGAGAAAAGGAACGTGTGAAGGAAAGAGCCAAAGAAAAGGAGAAAGAGAGGAAGGCCCAGCAGAAAAAAAAGAAAGTGAATGATTTGGAGCGTGCAGGACAGAAAAGTGGAGCAGCTCCCTACGGCAACAAGCAGGTATCAGAAGAAAATCCAGGATCTCACCGGAAAACAATCCCATATTTGTTCAAAAGGATACAGGAATGTGCTCGTTGTCTTTGCAGAAGAATAACGATGGTCAGAAGAACAGACTGGATGGACTGGAACAACAACAGCCGACCAGGAATACATCAGGATCTCAAAAGCCAGTCAAAGAAAAGACTGAGCCAAAGAAGCCCATCACAGACAAGAACGCCAAGGTCATCAGGGGCGTGACCTTCTACAAGGCGGAGGGAGAGAGCTACAACGAGGACGACGAGAAAGGGAAAGGAAGAAATTGTAAGTCTCGGGTACAGTGTGAATTTATACATCACATTATGTTGAAAAACCATCACAACGTAAGTAATCCCCTCCTCAACAGATTGTTATTCGTAAAATGTTGCCTTCGAACGCTGTCGGGCGTACACCATGGCGCTTTCGTGTAGTAGTTTTAAAACTGTACAGAAACTAGCCTTAACTGATTTGGCCACTTGGATGGCAACCGGCAGCAAGAAGTGAACACAGCATTGAAATGAGAACAAAGTGAGTTTTGTTCAGTATTCATGCTCTTTTAGCTTTGTTTTTGGTCTCCACCACCCTTTGGGAACAATAGCTGCTATAGACGGGTGGGGGTTATGATTTGCTGTAGGTTCATCGCTATGAGCGACCTCGTTCACCTAAGAGTTGTCACAATCCATCGTTAATATAAAAACGAGGAGAGATTACTGTTGTAGTCCAGTTGGAATTAAAGGATGTCCATAACCTCCTGAGGAGCATCAGATCAGGTCTTGGCAATGTCATTCAACAATATGCTCTCCTGACAAATTCAGTTCCTTGCAAAGGTTTGATCCCGACAGCATCATCTATAACCGAAATAGCAAGTGATCGCCTCGCAATTTCAATAATAAAAGCCTTAATCGTGTTCATCACTGGCACACAGAAAAAAATCCAACCCAAAATGTCTCCATCTTTTTCTCTTTTTGCTTCTTTAACAGCAACCCTTACTGTAAATGCTTCGGTGGACTTACCCCCACCTACCAAGACTTACCCCACCCAGAGTCCAGGACCTTCAACCATTGTTACACAGCTAGACCTTGAGGACCGATCAAGGAGAACGAGCAGGCCTGCACCCAACCAGCAACCAACCGCTGCCCCAACTTCAACTACTATTCAGACTACGCCTCGCTTCCATCACCCCACCACCTCGCTCTCGGACACCAACACAGGCCGTCCCATCGATAAGTCCCCCACAGTAAACTCTCAGGCAGGGTCCAAGAGTCGACTGAGCTGGACGGAGAGCCCTGCTGACCAACCAAAGACCACGAAAAAGCCTGGTAGAGATACATGTAGTACTGTGGTTTTTCCCGTAGACAGTGGACATATTGACAGATATTAATCACGTTATTATAGTCTTGACTCATAGTGTCAACTTCCATGTGTGTTCCTCAGCAGTGTGTAAGGACACAGTAGCCAGCATCTCTGAACCGGCTCAGCAGAACTCCTATGGCTTGAGCGACGGAGCCTGGATGAGAGATGGGCGCGGCCACGGCAATGTCATCTACCTTACTAATGGTCACTATGGCAACAACCTCCTGGAGTTCCGAGACATGGAGACCTTCAAATCAGGTATAGGTTTTTTTTATGGCTGTGAGTTTGAAACTGTGCCAACTTTCTGTTCTCAAAGGGGGAGCAACGGTGTTTAACATGCATTCCCTCTAATGACCACTAGGGGGCGACTCCTCTGGTCCCATAGAAGTCTATGAGGAAATGACTCTACTTCTCTCTTGATTTATTCCCTCAGTAAACATTATAAACACAGGTTGATGTTCTCGTTCCCTCTTTCCAAGTCTCCTTCAATACATTATGGTCAACGTAGAGTCAAATAGGTAGGTTGCATCTACGGGACGGTCCGATCTGGGAGTTTTCCATGTTTTGTTTATTCTCATTTGGTTATCAGTTGATCAAAGTTAAGCTTAAAAGTTTGATCCCAAAAAAAACTTTTCAGCTTCAGCTTTCGGTTGTATTTTCAACCTCCCACTCGAGCCACTTTAAACAAGTTAAACAATAAACAGCGGGATTTGCTTTCATCGATCTGCCTCTGCGGTCTTATGGCATCACTGCTACCTGCGATGCACGAGGACCAGCTGCTGCTCGACAAACTAGAACAGAAAGCTGAGCATTTCCACAGAACGATGTTCTGCTTGTTGTCTGCTGTGTAGATAGACAGCTGCTCTCACTCTCACTCGCCGTTGAAACAATTGCCTTTTACTGGCTTAAGATGTTGTCTCCTTCGATCTTTTTGTTCTCCCCGCAACAATGTGTGCATCACGCCGAACTGGGCTGTAGTTCCAAAGGTCATGTTATGAGTTGTGACACTGACCGGTTGTATGTGTGTTTTCTGCGTGTGCTTCCTGCTCAGGTCAGACAAGCAATTCATACAAGCTGCCCTATAGTTTCACTGGAACCGGCCACGTCGTGTTTAGTGGAGCTTTCTACTACAACCGGGCCTTCAGCAGGGACATCATCAGATATGACCTGAGACGCAGATATGTAGCTGCCTGGACCACGCTGCATGATGCCATCCTCGAGGAGCAAGCTCACAGGACACAAACTGAAGTAAGACGCGTGGTGTGACCGTTACTGAACTGCAGAGCAAACACTGCAAGACGATTTACTGGTGGAAAATACACTCTGCACACTTTAAAGGGTCAAAAAAGGTCAGTGTGGGGAACAGAAACACTACAAATCACGTAGAGGCCAAAAGGTTAAATGCTGAGCAGTAAAACAGCTGTTCATAGGGTTGATGGCCTGTTCGTATCTCAGGTTGCCAGACAGAGATGGCGAGCAAATGTTTTACTTTAAGTTTAAGTTTCTTTACTGCTCAAATGGCAGGACCAGCAGAACAAAACCGCAAATAACTAGTGTAGTGACAGATTTTGGGAAGCCACTCGGCAGGATGCGGGAGAAGATCCGGTTCCTCACACAGAGATTCCAGGTTGTTTGTTTCTTTGGGTAAAGTTCCCGTTTATTAGTTTTTATATTATATGCATGCATTTGCTTCCTGATCTCACTGTGTGCCTTGGGTAGTGCTAAAAAGGTCTGGCAGGTCTCCCTGCTACCGCCATTCGACCTCTGCAGCTCATCCAGAATGCAGCAGCTCGACTGGTCTTTAACCATCCTAAATTCTCCCACACTACTCCACTCTTCCGCTCTCTTCACTGGCTACCGGTGGCCGCCCGCATCCAGTTCTAAACACTGGTGCTCACGTACCATGCTGTGAATGGATCGGGTCCAGCTTACATCCAGGACATGGTCAAACCCTACATCCCAACCCGCACTCTCCGCTCTGCATCTGCAAAAATACTCGTCCCTCCCTCACTGAGAGCAAAACACTCGACTAGATCACGACTCTTTGATATCTTTGCTCCGAAATGGTGGAACGAGCTCTCTGAAGACACCAGGACCACAGAGAGCCTTCACATATTCAGACTAAAGACACACCTCCTCAGACTCTACCTCCACTAAAAGACTTACAAATTGTAGCACTTTAATTGTACTTATAACGCCACTCCTCTATAGCAAATTGTAAATTGGCTCATTTGAGGAAATTGCACTTTCTTGTTTCTTGTTCTTCTGCGTTTGTATCCTTATGGTTGAATGCACTTATTGTACGTTGCTTTGGATAAAAGCGTCAGCTAAATGACATGTAATGTAATGTCAAAACCATGCGATTACACACGCATCATTACCTGTGCCCCCGTATGTAGACTCCCTGTCACACTATTAGACACCGCCAGCCGTACTTCTGAAATGACAAGCTCGGGCCACAAGGGCTCGTGGGACACAGCGGGTTAGAGCTTTTTACCCCTTCAAGTCTTCATGCAAACAATGTCCTGATTTTAGCCCTGTCCTGGGCTCCACCGATGTCCATAACTAAAACCAGGCTCTTCAGTTCAGCAGTGCGAGTGAACCAAAACATTTAAAAAGGTCGCAAACTAGAGGCTGGGTGGGGTTCATGTCCCCCATTTGGTTCTAATATAACATTTTTTCAAGGTTTGAACATTCAATCAATCAATGTTCAACAACCATTGAGGAACGCTCTCTTCCAGAAGGGGTTCTGTGGATGAAATGGGTTCTTCAGGTGGGAGGAAACAGGTGTGGGGAACTGTTTGTTTACATTAAAGAAGTGACAGGAATATACAGTAGCCGTAGAAGAATCCAAATACAATATTGTAATGTGATTTCAGTTCCTCAAACCCTTTCAGTTACAGCAATTTGTATATTTCTTAGTTGGAGTTTGCTGTGGATGAGTCTGGCCTGTGGCTGCTGTATCCCGCCGTGGACACGGAGGGCTTCCACCAGGAAGTAACGCTGCTCCTCCACCTCCGCCACCGAGACCTGCAGCCAATACAGAGCTTCCGCACAGGCCTTCGGCGGGGTCGCTACGGCAACAGCTTCCTGATTTGCGGCGTGCTCTACGCAGTGAACAGCATGGAGCACAACTACGCCAACGTGACATACGCCTTCGACACGCACACGCTCACACACAGCGTGCCGGGCCTGGCGTTCACAAACACGCACGCACACACGTCCCAGCTGGCTTACTGCCCGCTCGACAAGAAGCTGTACGCATGGGACGATGGACATCAGATGATTTACGATGTCGTATTCGCATATTAGCACAGCAAATGGACACATAGTTGGAAGATTCGACAGCAATTGAGTGTTTCAGACAAAACAAAGCTGAGGACGTATTAAAAATGACTGTGGACCAGTCTGACTAAATTTATTTTCATATTGACTTGTAGCTTTTTCAAACACACCAAAGTGAGAATGAAGCAGCCAGAAACCAAGCAGAGACACATATTAAATATTTTATATATCTATGAAATATATATTAAAAGAGAAAGTATCTTATGCAAACTACATGTGTGTTGTACACAGTAAGAGTTTAACAATCCGTCGAAGCTAAAAAACGAGGCAGCAAAAGGCGCATTCGACGATGAATCCGCTGATAGTCGAGACATTTCGCTCAGACAAACCTTCCAAGCACAAAAACCATCGACGCGTAGGAATCATACACGCTGACTGCCTTCAGTGTTTTCAACAAGATTATCAACTTAAGCCACTCAGAGCCAATTTAAACCTTCACGCAGGTTTTTTGTGGGGGGGTGGAGGGGGTTGGGCTTCTGAGTGGCTACGGGGGCTGTCGCTCTTTCCCCATTCTAGTCAGATCCAATCGGATCAGACGATTCGGGAAAAAAGGTTGAACCATCCGGATTGCCAAACCAGAGCCGATTTTAGGATGAAGTCTGGATTTTCTCTCCTGCTGTAAAACCTGCTTTGCCTGAATTAACACATCAGAACTCTGACAAGAAAGAAAAGTTTGTTTCGGAGCAGGCTAGCTGAGGTAAGAACAGGTTGACACGATCGCTCTTTCAATTCCACGCTCCTCGTGTCAGATTTTGATACTTTTTTTTTAATTGGCTTTCCGCTTGTTACAACATGCAGTGTCTTCCATGTATATAATAAGCTTCCATGTTCACAGGAAACAGGGTTTGCTTTCGATAATGCTGAGGGACGTATATTGTCTTTTCAAAATAAACGTCCAACCTACTCAGGTTTAATGTTTACCTGCTACAAAAGAGCTTGGTTAGGTGTAGGAACAGGTGGGGGTTGGGTTCAACTACGTACGTTGGTTACGTAAAGTAAGTACGTTGTTACAGAACTGACATTATCAAAGTACACAACAAAACTAATGTAAAATAAGTCAACTTTGACAATGTTTTCTTTATGTATCTCTGCTCAGCGTGGTGCATATTCACCCTCGTTCCTGTCCAGTAACCTTTTTATTATACTGCTTTAGGAACAGGAATTGGCCTCTACAACAGAAGTCCATTCATTTACAACCATCGTTGAACATTGCTTTGAATGGAATTTTTTATCGTGATTAATTGCATGAATTGTTTTTTGTTGAAAGAAAATCCAAAGACAAGGTTGATTTCAACGGCTTTAGTCCCAGTTTAGGCCTCTTTGTTTGTTAATTTATAATAAACTATTTTAAAATGTCTTTCCCATTTTGTCTCTTTTGTTCTCCTGCATCTGTCCTGTGCAGCCTAATGTGTGAACTATTTCTGGGGTTGGTTTAGTTTTTCCTGGAAGCAGAAGAGCCCCTGGAAGCATCCACGGCGGAAAATAAGCCCCCGCCAGAAAGCTCAGGACACAGACCAGACCTTGTACATGTTGCAGAGCCCTATAACCATTACAGCTATAACATCTGTTAGATAAGAACACTGCGTCTGCACTCAAAATGCCCCAAAATGCCCTAAAATACCAAACACATGTCTAACAACACACACAGGAGGCAAAAACAGGGGGAGCTACTAGCGCTGCTTCATGGACTAGTTTATGGGCCTTCTGCTCCAGACGAGAGGTTTTCAATAGACTCTCCAGAGAACACCAATTTCCAACTCCCGGCTCCCTAAATCGCAACAGTCTGTACCTGCACTTTTTGATCAGCAACTGCACACACTACAGTGCCCAAAAAGTAGGGCATGGGTTAAAAAAGAGAAAGTTTCAAGAAGAATATGTGAACCTAAACAAATTTACTTCAAATGCATGACTTGTGTTCCAGTAAAGCTGATTGGACCCTCTGGAGATGACATCAAAAGTTATATAACCATCATGTTTATGTGTCGGTGTCTGTGGTGTGTGTGTGTGTGTGTGTGTGTGTGTGGTAAGTGACCACCTAGCAGGACGCAGGAGAAAGGCGCCCATTCAGTTCAACCGCATCCATGGTGTGTGTCTGTGTGTGTGTGTGTGTGTGTGCCTGTGTGTGTGTGTGTGTGTTCTATAAGACTCTTTGAACCACTCTGAAAAACATGAAGACCGCACACACAGACAAACACGTCTTTGTCTTTGTGCCATTGTAAGGTCACCAGACCAGAAGACGCTTTCTGGTCGCCACCATTTCTTGAGGGTTGTAAAGTATCTAAGAAAATATCAAATAGGTATTCTTATACCTGTATATGTGTCTCAGTCAGGACCCTCATTGAAAAACCATCACCACCAAATACCGAACCTCAAACCGTACCATGACCTTTACCTCAACCTAATTCATTTAAGTAGAGCAGGAACCAGAAGGTTCTAAAGCTCTATGAGGTCCTCACAACAATACAATGACAGGTATACACACAAACACTCAAAAACACAGTGCTATCAAGTTCACAGAGTGTGCTTTATTTTATCATAATGTCTGGTTGGAAGATAGCAGCGGTATTTGCACACACATTCCTGACCCCCACTGGGCTGTAAAGAGGCAAAAAGAAAGAAGGAGAGAGAGAGAGAGAGAGAGGGAGAGAGAGAGAGAGAGAGAGAGAGAGAGAGAGAGAGAGAGAGAGGGAGAGAGAGAGAGAGGTTAACATGTGCAGTACAGCAACACTCACCTAGAAACAGAGGAGAAGGAAAGTAATAATTCCCAGAGATTCCTCTGGGAAGTTCAACATAATCTCAGGAGCATGAACAGGATTTCATTGCCAAGCTGATGTGTGAAATGATGCAGGTGGTTCTTCGCTCTCCTTATGGTCAAACGTAAGTGCATCTATCACGTTAACGCAGCTTCTGCTGCAGTTGTACAGAGACCAGATGGAGGGTCGCTCCTGCTGCACTGCCCCAAAAACCAGAGGAAACAGAGGGAGGTGGTCAAATGCCTTCTCCAAGTCCACGAAGCACACGTAGACTGGACGGGCAAACTGCCAGGACCCCTCCAGTGGTCTTGCGAGGGTAAAGAGCTGCTTCACTGCTCCTCTTGAATCCGAGGTTCAACAAGCGGTCGCAGCCTCCTATCCGCTTTACAGGGAAGGCTGAGCAGTGTGATACCCAGATCGTTCCATCACACATTCAGGGTTTAGTGGCTGTGACGTAGTGCTAATCTACCGATCTATGTTGTTTGTGATGAAGCCTTTTCCAGTCATTCAGCAGGAAAATTAAGAGGTCAAGAGGTTACGATAGCTTGTGATATTTCGGTTGCACATGCTATGAAATACAGACGGGGCTTCAGGCCTCCTATTCTGGTGGAGAGGAAACATTAGAAAGCAGAAGACAGTAATGAAAAGAGAGTCGGCTGTGGTGGAGGGAGGAGGAAAGTGGTGGGATAATAACAGGGTCGAGGAGAGACAGAGATGAGAGGAGGACGAGACGGAGAGAAAGCTAACGTGTCTCCCAGACATTCAACATCTGCTTTGCTACTTTCAGTCACTCCGTCAGGAAGAAAGAAAAAGTAGAGAAAATATGCTCATGGCACAAAACGGCAAGCATCTATTTACAGGCATAACACTAAATAATTGGATGCAAAAAGTGTAAGATTGCTGGAGGTCACACATCTATCACTTTGAGAAAAGCAAGACGGAAATAGCTCGTTCCGGAAAGTTGAAAAAGCATGAATCTGCAGATATTGTCTCCCTCAATTTACTGCCGAAGCATTTTGCATTCTTCTGAATAATGACTGAGACCACAAATGGGGAAAATCACTTTTCCTGCAAGTCGATCAGAGCGGGAGATCTCTGAAGGCAGCTTTCCCACGAGCCCAGACTGAAAGTGTTTGCACGTGAGTCACATCCTCCGTCGTGTCACCACCTCGCTCTCCTGCTTGACGGGATCAAGTTACGGGAAGCAGGTTCGTGAAAGTCCTCTCTGTTCGGGGGCAAAAAGCAATGCTAGAGCAAACCTCCCCAGGCTCATCTCACACAGCAGCAAACCAGAGGGGTTTCTCACCAGGGGACAAGGTGGAGTTCATGTGGAGCCTCCAGCAGGTCCTCTGGTGCATCGCAGGCTTCGTCGTCTGTGACTGAAGAGGGCCGTGGCAGGCCTGCAACACACACACACACACACACACAATTCAACTCAATTCAATTAATTTTATTTTGTATAGCCCAAAATTGCAAATTACAAATTTGCCTCAGAGGGCTTTACAATCTGTACAACATCCTCTGTCCAGAAACCTTCACATCGGCACAGAAAAACTCTTTCTAAATATATGGGGAGAGAAAGAAACCTTAGTGAGACTACAATGTCATGTGTACAGAATGAACAATGTAAAATATGTACAAGACATTCAATTCATATAACAGAAATGATTCAGACAAAGTAGTAAGCGAGGTGTACGACAGGATCACTGCAGGGACAATCACCATCAGACAGAACCACCATCAGACAGAACCACCATCAGATAGAACCACCATCATATAGAACCACCATCAGATAGAAGCGTTTGGGGAGGGAAAGCAAAGACTTTAGGAAAGGGAAATGTTTAAGGTTTATGATGACAGTAATAGTTATATAATATGATGATGATGATGATGAGCAGTAGCAGGTGTCAGCAGGACCACGGCAAGAGGCAGGAACAGGGTCCAGACTGAACCATGTTCCATGGAAACCTCTAAGGAGAGAAGTCACTTGCACCGTCAGGTGACGTAACACCTTCTACAGTCCAAACGTCGCAATATTCTAATGCAACCTCTTTTTAACTGTCCAGCCTTGAGTAGTATGATGCCGCTTTGCTGTGTGTGATTTAACATTGTTTAAAATGAATGAAGTAGATTTGAAAAGAACAACAGAACCGGCCCCTTGAAAGGAAAAATCAGCCTCTGTAACAATACATACGCAGCGACACATCTGGCCTCTGCATGTACTCTGCGCTGTACTTTTATCACTGCAATAATTCAATGTGAGCTTTATCTGCCCGCCGTCTGGAGCAATGAGGGGGGAGAGCCCTGGCTGTCCCGGGACTCAGCCAACATGTCTCTGCTCACCAGATCAGGAACTGCAAACACAATCAGCTATTTGAAGCCATTGAAAAAACATGTCATGTTAGTATGTGTCATGTGACATTTAAAAGAATTAAACAAGGATTATTATTTTTATTCGTGCACAATTTGATGCTCTCACTGGCTATTAGGTTGAACAAAACCATCTGATGAGAAAGGAGGATGATGCTTTTCTGGACATTTGTCTGGTCCTGCAGGGGGAGTTTACGCTGTATTTCAAAGGGTTTCCACGGTAGCAGTACAGCAACACTCACACAGTCTATGAAGGTGCATTATCGCCACATTTATTGTAGTTTATTTATAAAGGCTGTTGCTGTTTAATGGAAGAACTCTTCCATTCTTGCTGATGCTTCAAAGAAGCCGCCAGCTCCATTTTACTGTGCTGCACCTACCATATACATCTTTGCAGAAACGCGCAGTGACACATGGCGAGCGCTGTGAAACGCTTGGTGAGGTGAAGACAAGCAAACCCATTGTGGTTTGTGTTAAACTAATAACATGACAACGTGTGTGAGTAACGTTACAACCGCAGCAAAGTAGTTAGCACGAATAGATACGACCGCCCGCAGCAGGCCTTGTAACGTAAGGTTCTTCTGCGATGGTTCGACCCATCCAACTCAAGTCACACCTAACATCTCGCTCAGTATGATACCAGGTAGCTTGTGGAGTCACTACATAACGTTACAAGGTGTTTGTTACTAACTACATAGTAAGGAATGCATTCGTCAACATCTGAAAAGGAAGGTGGACCCACCAACTGACAACACCTGCTGGACCAGACGCTTCCAAGGTGGGCCCGGGAAGAGGGGGAGGAGAGCCCAGATAGAAGCTAAGTTAACCCAGCTAGGACCTAGGGCCACTCCACTGCCCAGCCTCATGTTGGCTATCTAAAGCCCTGGGTCGGTGACTGTTGAGCCCACATCTTCACAGAGATCTCGCAGAAGTTGACGGACAGATAGCAGGACAGATGGGGACCGCAGTGGGACGAGAGGAGGAGGACTCTGCGTTTACATTATGATGCTTGGGGCTCAAACATACGCTCCTCTTTCTCAAACCCACCTCCTACTACTTGCGTCCCACTGACTTCACCTCTATCGCACTCACTTTCCTCTTTCACCCCTCTGTCTCCTAACCAAATTCTTACTCTAGTAACCTCTGCCCGTCCAACCATCTGCCCTCTTGACCCCATTCCATCACATCTTCTACAATCTATCCCTCCTGACCTTCCTTTCCTCAGCTGTCTCAT